TCTCTGCTCCTATGATACTGCTTGGTCTGCTGTGTTCATCCAGCTCTACACCTTGTTATCTCAGATTCTCCAGCATCTGCAGTTCCTACTATCTCTCACATAAATCAACTGAGCTGTTTAAACAGATCCACTCCCATGCTTGGAAGTGAGGGTGTAATTTTAGTAAATTTTAGCTGTAATCAACTTTCTTACTGCATTTCTGTCTATTTCATCTTCTAGCAATGTTTGATCTCCCACAAAACTGGATTTACATGAAAAATCAGGAGGCGTTAATAGTTCTTCTTCAGCCAGATACACCAGAGTACAAAGAGGTAGTACAAACATTCAGGAAATCTTGTGGGAAAACAGTTGTTGACATTGTCAAGGTATGCATGTTCAATATGTTCAATAACATTTGATTTTGTATGCTTTTGCTTTTTATTTAATTTTGTCCTGCACAGCAAGTTACAGCAAACTTTAACTGGTACCTTATGAACTGGCACTCTCAATAAACCAGCAAAAATTATACTCTGCAAACACTGGGAAGTTCACCATATTATTCTGCCCAATTATTACGTTTTTTAAAATTTATTTACCTCAACATAAATACACTTGTTGATCAATGGAATCAATGGCACGAAATATCAACAGTTGATTCAATTTCTCCTTAAATACCGCAATGTCAGTAGAAGGTGCGAGTGAGAAGTCTCTCTGCCAGTAAGTTTTATTTAAGGCAAAGTTGCATTATTATTTAAGTAATTTATGCTGTAACTAAAGTATAACAGTGATGTGTATATCACCTGCATTATGTTTCATTTCCATAATGTGGCTTTTATGTTCATAATGTGGATCTTTTGTTTATCTGGATCATTTGATCAACCAGCACACTCCTGGTCCCATAGGTGTCATTTAATAAAAACTTTGCTGTATGAAGATCTCAGCTATTGAGGTATTGTGTGCTAGAGCTTTGTTTCAGTTAAAATTGATGAAATGTATGTGATCCTGGATTGACAATCATTCATTTATTTATCTATAGTATGTTAAAAGTCTTATCTCTATTCGTTCTTCCCTCAGCCAGTGGTGGCATTGTAGCTTCTCAGGTTCTTCATTCTCAAATCCTCATCTTTTTGCTTTGAGAAACCTGCCAGCTAAACTAAGGAGAGGGACTAATGTAGCAGGCAATAAAAGCCTTTTCACTTACCCACTTGAGTCAGCACATACGTCTGCTCAGCTTCTCTCTCTTTGGAGACACCCTTTCATTCTGACTGCAGTTACCTACACCATAAGACCTCTCACCTTTACCCCAACCCCTTCACCTGACTACAATTGACCCCTCTCACCATCTTCTTCTCACCTGCACTCAAGCCTACCCCAACCCTGTCTCTTCCTTGATCCCTCAAGCCACCGTAGGATGACATAGAATATACGCACAGTATCAGGCCATTCAACCCAGACACTCTGAGATAACAAGGTGTAGAGCTGGA